AGTTGGTGTTTATTATGTTTTTGATTTATGTAATTTTTTTTTTAATTTATTATTTTTAAAAAGTTGATTGTAAGCTATGATTTTAAGTAAGTTAATGCTGAAAACTGAAAAAAAAAATTAAATTGATATTTTAACAGGAATTTCTGTCTGATGTCTGATAATTCTGTAGGCCTACATTTTTATAGAATAGCACATTTTGATAACATTAACAATGTTTTACATTAACTGTAATAATTTTTTTTAACTTAATTTCAGTCCATTTATTGAAGTTTAGAACATGACCCAGTAATACAAAATTTTGAAACAATCGCATTTGCAGTTGATATACTCTAATATATTTATTTCATTACCTGTACTTGCAAAAATTATAAGTGACGATCTGATAATTTCTAGTTTTCTCTCAGAAAGTTATTTATAAATCCTGACGCACAAAAAGTAAAAATAACAGAACAGAATTCGGGCGCTACCTGTGTAGGCGTCTGACATAATCTCACCCCGAACCCCATTATTGTCACCTTAACTGAATAGGCCTAATACACTTTGAAAAATAGCAAACAATACATAATAAAAATAAAACATGTATACAAATATCAGCAAGCCAAGGAAAACTGAACTGAAAACTTAACTTAAAGGGAACTTATAAAAGTTTATATGTCCACTTAGTAACTTAAAGGGAACATCAGTAAATTAACACACAGGTCTTGGCAACTGCACGCTACAGTAAAAAAAAAGGTAAAACGCATAATGAATGTTTATGAGTGCAATAGGAAGAATTTTTTATGAGTTGGAAAGATACTCTTACAAATAACCATCCTTTCCATTGCATGAATACATTTGATTTACAACATACTTAAAATAGATTCATGTCATTTCATATTGTTTACAAAAAAATAAAGCAAAGCTAGGTTGACAAATGTATGCTGTTTACTTTCAAGCCAGCTGCTGTGTTACCACACCTTGTTCGGCCTTTACATACACGTTGCTACATAAAATGTATACTTACAACAGTGTAGGATGATCAAGCTATGCAATAGAACATAGGTAAAGGTAGAAAAAATGGAATGGGTGTAAATAAATAACCCCATGATAAATTAAGATAAATGTTGCAGTACATTATTCAATGTGTGACTTCAGATATTCTTGATTTGTTGTCAAAAATGAAATTACCGTATTTTGTCAAATTAAAAAATAATAAATGCAAGGATCATAATCATGAAATCTACACATTTTAAAATTGGTGGTACTTGACATATTTGTCCTACTCCAGATCCCATTATTTTTATCTTCCCTTAGACCTCTACTGGTGCTTCTTTTTTCATTCGTTACAGTAGCTTTGTATGAACAATTTTTGCGGAGTGTTTGAAGGTTGCTTTTCCAAAAATTATCTAATGACTTGTTTTCATGGAGAGGTACCGGTAACAATTTTAAACAAATAATTATTCCATGTTATATATTTTTTTAAGATAGGTTACTTAAAAACTACAGTACAGTTGACTCTCCCAATAGCGACCACCCTACAGACGATCAACTGCCAGTGATAGGCCAAACTATCTGTTGGAATGTGTTCCAAGGCCTGGGTAAGTCCTGTGACTAGTACTGATACTTGATTTTTACTATTAAATTATTATGTATAACACTTCATGTTTTGCTAAAGTCAATTTACAATAAAATGTATGCATTGTAATGTTTTCTGTTGCTATTTTGACATTATTCACTAGCATGGAGTATAAGTCAAGTTTACTAGGTCTTCTTAACTGCACATCGGCCAATGCTTTGGTCACAATGTCAGATTGCCAATAGTTTTAATTGAATCTAATTGAATCAAATTGCAATTACAATAATGTTCTTTACAGGACTTCGGTTCTTCAAATGAAGAGTGTACACTAATCCATGGCTTAACTAACAAGGCGTTCACTGAGTGATAAACCTTTGCTAGCATTGTTACACTGTACACTAGTTCGCAGCACTCAATTAACAAAATGTTAGCATATTTCTATGCATCTGCACATTGCTGGATAATTCTTTCGCAATTGGAAAATTTTGTTTTTCCACTGTACAAGAATGATTAGTTGTAAGATTGATTACCTGGAAGTTTTTTTTTTCTTTCTTTTTTTTTTCTTTTTTTTTTTTAGCTTTTCCACTCAGGTACTCTTTAAAACAATCCATAACCAAGTGATTTTCTTCTCTACACCAATGGGTGTATTGGCGACCTAAAAAAGAGAAATTTTTAATTTTTCTCATAAAACTAATAGAGTATTAGAATTTGAGAATTAGTCTAAATGTTTTTTACTGTACATTAAAATCACCTAATTTTAATAACGTACTAGGCAATTGCATTTAATGTTGTTCCTCAATAGGAGTACTAGTAATGTTTTATACAAATATCTTATTATAAATTAGAGTAAGGCCTAATTCGTCTATCTGCTTTTAGACTCGAAACGGCTAAGCGAACCTTCAAAACTCGGGTACCACTGCAAATGTACCGCATTAGTCGAGCGAATAGGCTGGGTTTTAGGGTCATTATCAGATCCTAACTGCTAAAAAATACTAAAAACCGCAATATTAGACATGTTTCGTCAGTTGCTTACGTAACTGACAACAACTGCACAGCGTTGCCTTGGCCCTCACACGTATGGTGGATCTACAAAATACCGAATCATACTGCAAATTACACTACTTTACTATACCCTACCAGGCAGCCAAATAAAGTATCGGCTGCAA